CTCCAAAATATATAAAGAACTTACATGACTCCACTCTAAGAAGACAAGCAACCCAATTAAAAAATGGGCAAAGGACTTGAACAGACACTTTTCCAAGGAGGACATACAGAGGATCCAGAAACACATGAAAAGATGTTCAATATCACTAGTTATCAGAGAGATGCAAATTAAAACCACAGTGAGGTACCACTTCATACCAGTCAGAATGGCCATCATAAACAAAGCAACAAACAACAAGTGTTAGAGAGGTGGTGGAGAAAAGGGACCCTAGTGCACTGTTGGTGGGATTGCAGACTGGTACAACTTCTATGGAAAACAGTATGGAATTTCCTCAGAAAACTAAAAATGGATCTGCCTTTTGACCCAGCAATTCCACTGCTGGGACTATATACTAAGAACCCTAAAACACCAATACAAAAGAACCTATGCATCCCAATTTCATAGCAGCACAATTTACAATAGCTAAGTGTTGGAATCAACCTAGCTGCCCATCAGTAAATGAATGGATCAAAAAACTATGGGTCATTTACACAGTGGACTTCTATGCAGCAGAAAGAAAGAAGGAGCTCCTACCCTGTGCAACAGCTTGGATGGAGCTGGAAAGCATTATGCTAAGCGAAAAAAGCCATGCAGTGAAAGACAAATATCATATGATCTCACCTTTAACAGGAACCTCAACCACAAAACAAAGAAACAAACAAAATATAGTCAAAGACACTGAAATAGAGGACAGGCTGACAGTGACCAGAGGGGAGAGAAGAGGGAATTTCAGGGGAGAATGGGAAGGGTTACAGGAACAAATTTAAATGACACATGGACAAAAACTAGGGGGAGGGTGGTAATTGGAGGGAAGTGGGAGAGATGGGTGGGTGGACTGGAATGGGAGTAAAAGGGAGAAAATTGTACTTGAACAATGATTAAATATTTTTTTAAAAAATGTGTATACTACCCAAACTACAAATTTAGTGCAAGCCCTATCAAAATTTCAAATGTGCTTTTCACAGAAATACAAAAGGCAATACTAAAATTCATACAGAACCACTCAAGACCTCCAATAGCCAAAGGGACTTTGAAAAAGAAGAATAGAGTGAAAGGAATCACACTGCCTGGTATCAAATTATGCTATAGATCTGTAATAATTAAAACAGAGTGGTAATTGCAACAAAAGACATACAGGCCAATGGAACAGAATCAAAACTTCAGAAATAAACTCACAACTTCCATCCAAGATTGAGGGGTAGGTAGACACACTGTTGCTCCTCACACAATCAAAACAAGGACAACAATAAATTTAAAAATAAAAACAAAAAAAAACAGCACCAACAGAAAATCAAACTGTATGGAAGTCCAACAACCAAGGAGTTAAAGAGAAACATTCATCCAGACCTGTGGGATGGGGCGGATACAGGCAGCCTGGTGGAGCAGACTCACAGCAAGGCAGCAGCTTATGACCTAATGTTACCACATTTGTGGGCAGATAAAGTGAGAGGAAAAATGGAGGAGGGAGACAGAGAAAGAAACCCAGGATTCCAGTACAGGGAAATAAAGCCTCAAAGCATCTGCCTGAAAACACCTGTGGGTAGTGAAGCAGAAGCTGGAGAAACTCTGAGCCTCACAGGAGAATTCACTGGAGAAACACCAAGGGTCCTAGAACATAAACAAAGCCACCCACCCAGGAATCAGCAACAGAAGAGCCCAATTTGATTGTGCGTAGCACAGGAAGTGACTGAAAACCAGCAGAGGGCAAAGCAAATGGCACTGCTCCCTCTCAGACCCCTCCTGCAACACAGTGTCACAACACAGAGATGTGGGTTGCACCACCCCAGAAACACCTAAGTCTCCTCCTTTAATACCTTACAGGCCTGACCAGACAAATGAAATGGCCAAAATAAAAGAACAAATCAAAGATAAAAATAAAAAAAAAACACACAACTAAGCAATGAAGAGATAGCCAACCTATCAAATATATAGCTCAAAACACTGGTCATCAGGATGCTCACAGAATTGGTTTAATATGGTTACAAAGTAGAGGAATAAATGAAGAGCATGAAAAGTGAAATAAAGGAAAATGTACAGGGAACCAACACTGATGAGAAGGAAACCAGGACTCAAATCAATGGTTTGGAGCACAAGGAAGAAAAAAACATTCAACCAGAAAAGAATGAAGAAAAAAGAATTCAAAAAAAGGGGGACAGACTTAGGAACCTCCAGGACATCTTTAAGTGTTCCAACATCTGAATCATAGGGATGCCAGAAGGAGAAGAAGAAGAGCAAGAAATTGAAAAGTTATTTGAACAAATAATGAAGCAGAACTTCCCCAATCTGGCAAAGGAAATAGACTTCCAGGAAGTCCAGGAAGCTCACAGAGTCCCAAAGGAGAAACCCACTTATACACATCATAATTACTTTAGCCAAGATTAAAGATAAAAAGAGAATCTTAAAAACAGCAAGAGAAAAGGAGACAATCACCTACAAAGGATCCCATTAGACTATGAGCTGATTCTCAAAAGAAACTTTGCAGGCAAAAAGGGACTGGAAAGAAGTATTCCAAGTCATGAAAGGCAAGGACCTACATGCAAGATTACTCTATCCAGCAAAGCTTTCATTTAGAATGGAAGGGCAGATAAAGTGCTTCTCAGATAAGATCAAGTTAAAAGAGTTCATCATCACCCAGCCCTTCTTATATAAAATGTTAAAGGGATTTACCTAGGAAAAAGATCAAAACTATGAACAGTAAAGTGACAACAAACTCAAAACAATTAAGAACCAAACCTAAAAAAAAGAAAAAATAAGCAAATAACTAGTACAGGAACAGAATCACAGAAATGGAGATTACTTTGAGCTTTATCAGTGGGCGAGTGGAAGAGGGAGAGAGGGAAAAGGTACAGAGAATAAGTAGCATAAATGGTAGGTAGAACAGGGGAAGGTTAAAAACAGTATGGGAAATGTAGAAGCCAAGGAACTGATAAGTATGAACCATGAACATGAACTAAAGGATGGGAATACTGGTGGGAGGCGGTGTGCAAGGTGGAGGGAAATAAAGGGCATAAAATGAGACAACTGTAATAGCATAATCAATACAATATAATTTTAAAAGAAATAAACCTATGCACTAACTAACATATACTAGAGTAAAGAAATCCAGTATTTAATGCACTCCTAAAATGTGCCATTTCCTTGTGCTTTCACCATTTACACTTAATGTAATGTAGGTTGTTTCAGGTTTCCCATTTTATTGTTTGCACCTGCATGTCACATCTGCTCTTTCCTCTTCAGGTTTCCTTTTACTGCTCTCTGTGTTTTGGGATGCTGTTTTTAGTTTTAATTTATCCACTGGATAAATTCTAATCCACCATTCTAATTTATCCACTGGAATTCTAACTGTAAGTCTCTGTACATTGCTTTATCATTGACAGTTATAAGTATAATATACAACCTAATTTCACAGATTCTACACAATGAAAGTAATATTTAACCTCTGCAAAGTCAATGCAGTAGCATCACAACTGTGCAGTTCCCTTTATGCCCACTGCTTCATGCTGCTCTTGGAATCTGTAGTCCATCCACACATCACACACCCCACCAGATGATGTGCCCATTTCTGCTTTTAACAGCCATGCCCGTGGTTTAAAAGAGGAGAAAATATGCTATTACATTTACATAAATATTTACTTAGACATGTTTGTTCTTCCTTAACTCTTGAATTTCCAATAATCTCTTTACCATTATCTCCTGTCTGCCTCAAGAACTTCTCTCTTCTAATCAGGTCTTATGGTCACTGTTCCTTTATTTCACTTCCTTTCCTGAAGAATATATCCAGAAGAATTCCAGATGAACTTCTCTCACCTCTCAGGACTTTAAACTCTTCTGGCTGTGATGGTTTCTGATGGGAAATCTGTAGTCAGCCCACCATGGTTCATCCATGTGCGACATGCCATTTCTGTCTGGGTGGATTAGATTTTCCTTGACTACTTTGATGAGGTTCATGATGTGTGTGGGCTTGGTTTTCAAAGATTCATAGCTGAGTTCCTTGGGCAGGTAAATGTATGGCCTTCAATAAATTTATGACATAGTCAGCTATCTGTTTCTTCCAATATCATGTTTATTCATTGATATCATTCTCATTTTGCTCCTAGTTCAGGAACATAAACCGCCTCACCGATCTCTGAGTCTGTCCCTTTTCATTTACAAGCCTGGCTGCCCTCCACAGGGACTCTTACCTGATGCTGGAGAGGGAGTTCCCAGTGTAAGAGGAAGAGCTCTGCTTAAGGGAGGAGGGGCCCTGAGGAGGCAGAACTGACCCAGAGGTTTGAAGCAGGGCAATGAGGGTGAGGCTGGTGCTGACTGGTACAAAGAGGAAGTGAGTGAAGGGAACTGTTTGGGGAAAGAAAATCCAGGGTCCCATTAGGGCCACACTTTCTCCTGAGAAACAGTGACCAGTTCCCTCAGAACCTCCTCATGCTACCCTCTCACCTGAGGTGGTCCTCCCAGTGAGAGCCCCACTGGACCCTCAAGGCACCAAGAAGAGGGTAGAAAAGCCTTCCTTTCTTACTCTTTGACCTCCCAGCCAGTCATCCACTCCACCCCATTATGCCCCACTGAGCCCCTCTAAGCAATGTCCACAATCCATCACTAGACTCAATTGTCTTGTCATCACATCAGCCTCCTTCCTGCACCTCCAATGCAAGCCCCATGCCTTCCTCCACTTCACTCCTGTCTCCACCTCCTGTGGACTGTTCCTATAACCAAACAGCTCTGAGCTTGCCTGCTTCACCCCCTCCATCAGTTCCGACCCTCAGAACAGATCCACCTTACACTATCTGACATTCAAGGCTGTGAATGGTCAGGCTGGAGCTAAACTCACCAGCCCCAGAAAACATGATTCAGCGTCCACAAACAAATCGACGCCATTAACCACATTCCCCTCCACCCCAAACCACACTCACAAACTGAACTATTTCAAAATCCTGTGTTTTCCTCTGCTGTTCCCTCAGCCACTCTCAACAGAACCACCTGCTTAGCAAGATCTAGACAGGACAGAGAGCCATCCTGTCTCATCCCAGTTAACTGTAAGTGCTGTTTGCATTACAGGTTTTTGTGAACAACTTAAAGTACTGATGGACACACCATCCATGGGCCAGGTGAATGTTGGAGGATTTTTAAAAATATATTTTATTGATTATGCTATTACAGTTGTCCCATTACCCCCCTTTTATTCCTCTCCACCCTGCACACCCTCTCCCACCCACATTTCCCCCTTTAGTTCATGTCCACGTGTCATAAGTTCTTTGGCTTCTACATTTCCCATACTATTCTTGCCCTCTCCCCATCTATTTTCTACCTACCATCTATGCTACTTATTCTCCATACCTTCCCCCACTCTCCCCCTTCCACTTCCCTGTTGCTAACCCTCCATGTGATCTACATTTCTGTGGTTCTGTTCCTGTTCTAGTTGTTTGTTTAGTTTGTTTTTGTTTTTGTTTTAAGTGTGGTTGTTAATAATTGTGGGTTTGCTGTCATTTTACTATACATGTTTTTTACCTTCTTTTTCTTAGATAAGTCCCTTTAACATTTCATAAATTCAGGGCTTGATAATGATGAACTTCTTGATGATGATGAACTTGACCTTATCTGTGAAGCACTTTATCTGCCCTTCCATTCTAAATGAAAGCTTGGCTAGATAGAGCAATCTTGGATGTAGGTCCTTGCCTTTCATGACTTGGAATAGTTCTTTCCAGCCCCTTCTTGCCTGCAAGTTCTCTTTTGAGAAATCAGCTGACAGCCTGATGGGAACTCCTTCGTAGATTACTGTTTCCTTGTCTCCTGCTGCTTCTAGGATTCTCTCCTTCATTTTTACCTTGGCTAATGTAATTATGATGTGCCTTGGTGTGTTCCTCTTTGGGTCCAACTTCTTTGAAACTCTCTAAGCTTCCTGGACTTCCTGGAAGTCTATTTCCTTTGCCAGATTGGGGGAGTTCTACTTTATTACTTGTTCAAATAACTTTTCCACTTTCTGCTCTTCCTCTTCCCCTTCCAGTACCCCTATAATTTGGATGTTGGAATGTTTAAAGATGTCCGGGAGCTTCCTAAGCCGCTCCTTATTTTTTTGAATTCTTCTTTCTTCCTTCTTTTCTGTTTAGTTGTTTCTTTCTTCCTTCTGGTCCACTTCATTGATTTGAGTCCCAGTTTTCTTCCCATGACTATTGGTTTCCTGTGCATTTTCTGTCATATCACTTAGTGTAGCCTTCATTTTTTCATGTAATTTGCTACCAAATTCAACCAATTCTGTGAGCATCCTGATCACCAGTGCATTGAATAGTTCATCTGATAGGTTGGTTATCTCTTCATAATTTAGTTTTATTTGCTGTGGAGCTTTGATCTGTTCTTTCTTTTGGGCCATTTTTTTTTTGTCTTGTCATGCCCATTATGTATGAGGGGCAGAGCCTTAAGGGTTCATGAGGGTGGGGCAACCCAGTTGGTGGGTTCTGGCGCTACATATGGGGGCGGGGTCAAAGAGGGAACAAGGGCGCTTGCTCCAATCTCTGTCAGACTTCAGTCCCTTCCGCCACTTCCCCCAAGCAAACTGGGACTTTCTGGTGCTAATTCCTCCTGGGGGGCGGGGTGGGTGCTGGTGTACATTCTAGGACCCCATGAGTCTCTCTGAAAAATGCTCCTGTGAACCTTGGAGTCTCTCCCTTTGCCTCAATCCCAACAGCTGTTTTCAGTCAGTGACCAGAGGCTCTGTTTCCCGGTGCTGAGACCCTGGGTAAGGCTCAGTACCTTGTTTCACAATCGCTGCTTTGCTGGGTCTGCTGGTTGTCACTCTAGGCCCAGGGTCTGCCAACCACCACCTGCACTCCCAGGGTCTGCCCACTGTGGTCTTGGTAGCCCTGGATGCCTTATATGCCTGGTCTTATCCCTCTTTGTGCCTCCACCCCTCTCAACCGGGCTTCCCAACTGTGCCCCTCCTACTGGTCTGGACGAACGTGCTTATTTTAACTCCTTGGTTGTCTGACTTCCATACAGTTCAATTTTCTGTCAGTTCTGCTTGTTATTCTGTTGCTAAATTGTTGTTATCCCTATCTTGGTTGTGCAAAGAGGCACAGTGTGTTTACCTATGCCCCCATTTTGGCCAGAAACCCTGAATATTGGAGTTTTATGACTGATAGAGTCCATCATCAATAGAGCCTGCTGGCATGACATTTTCATATATGTGTAGCCTTTTTAAAATAAATCTGTTCACACCCACGTTGCTTAACATTTTTCCCACTGACTCCAAGATACAATCCAAACTATCCACATGGTGCTCCAGATCCTGTGTGCCCAGGACACAGCTTTCATCTGACTGCGGCCCCTTCTGAGAACAGCCCAAGCTCTTTCTGGTCAAGGACACCCCTCAGCCCAAGGTCTGTGGACTAATCCCTGCTCATGCCTTGGGTCAGCCAATCCCTGAGAAGGATGCCCTCACAGCCAGGACACAGGTTGCATGATGTCCCCCTGTTATTGACCCTCACTGCCTTGTTCTTGCTCCCAACATGGACAGTCTCACCAGACTGTAACTGATCTGTCTGCCGTCCACATACCTGCCTGTCTATCTTCATTCCTCTGAGCCCTGTGAGTCCAAGGACAGAGTCCAGCAGCTTCAGCAGTGACTCTCCAGGGCCTGGCACCAGGACTGCACAGGGTGACTGCTCACCACATGCTGCCTAATGGTCTGGCCAGTGTGAAAGAGGAAGAGAAATGGCTCTTACAGAGTCTCAGAAGAGGGAAGTGACTTATCCAAAGACACAAAGTTCAAGAAAAGGCAGAATCAGAATTGGAACACAAACTGGGCTGCTCCTGAGTCCTACCAGGCATCCTCTACCCTCATGTTCTGGCACAGGTGTCACCCCTCTGGATTTGGGTGTAACATAAGGTGGATGCAAAGCCTGTGGGGTCTGCTAAGACTCATATTAGGCTGAAATCTCCAGAGATTGCTGTCTCCTCTGGCCCATCTTTCAGGGAGGAGCTACTTCCCTTCCTGCCAGGCCACTGATGAGGTATCCATAACCTGCCACACAGAGCTGAAACCATGTAACATACCAATCATTACTCTGTGTTACAGTGATTTTATACATTGTCTGAACACTGGTGACCATGGCAGGAAGCACCACGACCCCGACCCTCACTGTCTTTCTCTGTCTCGGTGAGCTTTGGGGAAAAGATGAGGGATGAAATCTCATTATTTCCCAGGTCCTGGTCACAACAGACTGTAGGATGAGAAGTCTCACTGGGGACAGGGCTTCTGGGTGGAGATGAGGAGGCTGAGCCCCACATCTGACCCCAGCTCTTAGGGCCCAGACCAGGCCAGGAGCTTCTTTGTGTGGGATGAAGGATAATCTCAAAGGGACTCTCCTCCAGGTCTGTGTTGGGGCCTCTGGGACCACATCCAGGCAGGTGAGTCCTCCCCCAGACTTCCTACATCAGGACAATGATGCCCCTGGACAGCTGTGAACCCACAGTACATCTGGGCTGATGATGACCAGTGTGGGAGGGCTTTTGGAGTGAAGGTGGGCACACTGAAGGGAAAAGAATACCCCCTGACATTTTAGTTCTGATTGCTTTCCAGGAGTTCCCCCCAAACCCTCTATCTGGGCTGACCCAGGCCCCATTATCAGCAAGGGGATCCCTGTGACCATCTGGTGTCAGGGGTCTCTGAAGGTGGATGGCTACATTCTGTATAAAGACAGGGGCTTTGAGCCCTGGATGACAAGCATCCTAGAGACCTCCAACAACAAGACCGGGTTCTCCATTCAGTCCATGAGATCACAGAATGCAGGGCTGTACCAGTGTGCATACAGCACTGGGGATATGGTGTCTGAGAGGAGTGAGCCCCTGCTCCTGGTCGTGACAGGTAAGTACAAACCCGGGTATTCTTGCAACTGTGGGCTCCTCCTCAGAGGATGAAGGGAACAGAATGTGGCTTAGAAGGACCTTACCCCTCACAATGGACCTTACCCCTTCACACCTGGGGAAGGTGGAGTGATGGCCCCCTTTAACTCAGACCTTCCTTCTCCATAGGAGTGTACAGAGCACCCTTCTTTTCAGCCCAGCCAGGCCCAGTGGTAAACTCAGGAGAGAATGTGTCCCTCTTATGCAGCTCACAGTCCACACTGGACACTGTCCACCTGCTGAAGGAGGAAGGGCCTGAGCCAGCCCAACAAAGGAAATTGGAGTGGAATCCCTATGCTAGGAGGTGGCAGGCTGTCTTCTCTGTGGGCCCTGTGGGCTCCACCCATGGGGGAACCTACAGATGCTATGGTTCCTCCAGCTCCAACCCCAATGTGTGGTCACAGCCCAGCGTCCCTCTGCACCTCGAGGTCACAGGTGAGGTGACCCACACTTGTCTTCACTTCTTACCTGTGCCTCCAAATATCTGATCTAACCTTGTGTCTAGTAAAGCCCTGGGGGTTGTGGGAATCAGTAACTCAGGTTTACTGGGGACAGAACCACAGTCAGAAGACTTAAGGAGGGACAAGTGAGAGCTTTCACTACAGCCCCAGTGTGGGGTGGGTGTGTGTGTCCTCTGGCTGACAAGGACCCTTCTCCCCAGGTGTGTACAGGGAACCCTCCCTCTCAGCCCAGCTGGGGCCCCTGATGCTGCCTGGAGACAATCTGACCCTCCAGTGTCACTCGGAGCCTGGCTCTGACAGATTTGCTCTGACCAAGGATGAGGGACCCAACCCCCACCCCCAGAGTCTCCATGGACAGCACAGTCCCAACTTCCCCCTGGGCCCTGTGAACTTCAACCACGGGGGCCGGTACAGGTGCTACAGTGGACACAACCTCTCCCATGTGTGGTCAACCCCCAGTACCCCCCTGGACATCCTGATTGCAGGTGAGGAGCCCTGCCCTACCCCCTGTCCTGACTGCCTGCTCAAGGCTCTGGCCCAGGGTCATCTTGGTGGTTATCAGTTCCATAAGAGGATCCTGGAGCACAGGCAGAGAGGACTGAGATTTAGGGGAAGGAGTGACAAAAGGGGAGTGGGGGGCATGGAGAAGAAAGATGCCCACTCGGAGGCACTGAGAGAAGCTGAGAGGGGTAACAGAATCCCTTTGGAAGTGGATGGACACTCTCTCTAAGCTCATAACCAAGGTTATGGAGGGAGAGGTGACCCTGTGCACATTACACTTCCCCTCTCCCCAGGAATGTACAAGAAACCCTCCCTCTCAGCCCAGCCTGGGCCCTCAGTGTCCTGGGGAGCAAGCGTGACCCTGCAGTGTGGATCTGAGGTCAGGGCTGACACCTTCCACCTGCACAGGGAGAGGTCCCTGGATCCTCCCCAGCAGCTTCATCTGCAGGACACAGCTGCTCCCTCTCAGGCCAACTTCACCATCAGCCCTGTGACCTGGGGCCACAATGGGACCTACAGGTGCTACACCTCACACAGCTCCCCCCCCTTCCAGTTGTCACAGCCCAGTGACCCCCTGGAGCTCCTGGTCTCAGGTGAGGAACTCCTACCACATGTCCATTGAGGGAGCAGACTCTGTTTCAGGACCACTCAGGGCTGGGATGGGAAGGAGGGTGAAACAGTGAGGTCATCAATAGGGGGAATCCCACCCCATAAAGAGATGGAGAAGATGGGGAGTCCCCCACCCTCTCCATGATTCTCCCCACCTGAGGGTTCATCCATTGCTGGTGTGTGCAGGGAGGAGACTGAAGTGTGTGAAGGGACAACATTTGGGAGACATCTGTTGAACTGTAGGAGACATGAAGAGACAGGCACACCCACAGCCTTCCCTGGTTCCTGTGTCATGCAGCAACTGGGGTCTGCAGACCCTCGTCCACATGGGCAAACTTTATGTCTTTTGGGTAGCAGAGTCCCCTTAGTCTAGAGGAGACACACCAGGCAGACTCCACCAGGCTTCTGCCATTTCTCACTTTATACTTCAACACATCAAATACATCCAGAAGGCCTTGTTTCCTAAAGTCCTGGGGATAAAGTTGGAGACATAAGGAAGGGGCCTCATCTCTCATGTAACAAGGCAGTCACTGGGTCCCATGTGGTAATCAGGGAGGAAATACATGAAGGGGAAGATGCCCAGCTCAGATGGGGAGAAAAGAGCAGGAGCCACACCTCCCTCTATCTTGATGCTGATTGCAGGACCCTGATTTTCTGGTATCTGTGGAATCAGGCCCCCATGGGGATATAATGAAGAGGGACTCTCATTTATGGGTCAGGTGGAGTGGAGATCCACTGACTTTCTAAACTGAAGTGGAGATGGTTCAGTCCGCTTGAAGTGAGTCCCAGTAACAAACTCCCACCTGTTCCTGGGATTTGGATCACCCATCTATCAAAGCAGAATCCAATCCAAAATTTGAAAAAGGTGTCAGTTTAGAACTTTGATGCCAGTGAATCCCTGTGGGAGAAAGAACATGAGTCCTCTCTGAGCTTGTCCTGTCTCCATGGGGGGCCACTGTCATTACATGGGTGTGGGAGGAAGGCAGGATTTCTGTTGGTTCCATGGCACCAGGTGGTCAGTTGGGTCAAGTCATCCTCCAAAACACCTCCCATCAGAACTCCTGGAAGTGCCCCTTCCCCCTCCCAGAGTTCCCTGTACTACCTATGATTTGATTTGTCACATCAACAGAGCCTGTCTGTCATCTCTATACAAATCTGTATTTTCATGCATGTGTTCATGTAAAGGTTTTATTTTTCCCTTTATCTTTTTACTACTTTCTTACCAATCTTCCAATTAGGTTACAAAGTGAACAAACACTTAGAAGCTATGTTAATTTTGATAATTCTCAATACTAAAAATGCCTGTGTTGTACATAGTCAATATTCTATTGTTTAAAAAAGAAAACCTAATAGAAGGAATGAGACATGGAAATTATGTTCCCAAGTCAGAGACCGAAAGAGCTGGCTGAGGTGGAGCAATGCAAAGGTAGATCCAGCCGTCACTCCTTCGCATCCTGACATTCAGAAGAAATTGAAGTCCCCTGTGGTCATCTTGGCTTTCCAAAGCAATGCAAGACTAGACACCAAAGATCCTTATCTCGGGAATTCAGTTGGGTACTACTAGTGTGAGAGACCCTCTTTAGTGTGAAATTAAACATTTCAAAGAGATAATCTAAGCCATCCTAAGCATGTTCTCTCATATCCTATTGGTTTCCTTTTCCTCTGGAGCAGCTGATCCTCTGGGATGATGGGAAAACAATTCAGATTCCAAGAGCAGAGAGTAGGTGAAATTCTCTATTATGGGGCTTTGCTCAGAACATCAAATCAGGTCCATGAGATACAGGTGTCCTGGTGGACATGCATGGGGACTGAGGTGATCTGAGTCTGTCCTGACTTCTGTGACCTCTTTACCCACAATTCCTAGATGATCAACCCCAGGACTACACAGTGGCGAATCTCATCCGATTGGGTGTATCTGGTTTGATCCTTGTGGTCCTCGGGGTGCTGCTGTTTGAAGCTTGGCACAGTCGGAGAAGACCCCACAATGCAGCCAGCAGCTGAACACAGGGGATAACAAACCCACCAGTCAGCGAGGTAGAGACTGGAGAAGAGTCGGATGACCCAAAGAAGCTCTGGAGGAAACTGTGGGCGCCCCTGGAAAAGAGTCCGCTGAGAATGTGGAGGGTGTGGGCGTGGTTCCCGTGCAGGGAGAGGTGGGGCTACTGCTGCAGAGGCTTCTCCACAGTTACACTGTGGGTGTCTCACCTCACTGCACTGCTTACCTTACTTGACTGGCCCCTGTGTTCTTAACCCCATGACCTGGGGCTCAGCCCACATCACAGGTTCAGATCCACACCTGGGCTCACCCTCCATCTCTGGTCCACTTTTATGTGAAACATTTTTCTCACTTTCATTCTCCACATTCGCTGACTGTGCTTGTCTTTGATCCTCAGAAAAGATCCCTTCAACGACTCCTCTGTGTATCAGCGAATGTACCTGGTGCTGGTTCCTCCAGAAACGCCATGAGTCTGAAAGAGCAACTGGTGTTTGAAATCACGCTCAGATGGTGTGTTTGTAAGGCAGCAGCAAGAAAACAGTTTTTTCCCCCCAAAAGCTCTGATTTTTGGCATTTGCCTAATTCCCAGGTGTAAATACTCCTTGAAAGTTGTGAGAGCGTCCCACCACTCTCTCTCTGGTGTTCCCATCTTCCTCATTCCCAATCAGCCTCCCTGAGTCCCAACTGTGCACCTTTTTGGATGGTCCACAGTGGTTACCTGCTTCGATTACATCCCCCAGAGGTGCTCAGGACTGTCTCAGCAGGCACAGGGTTCACTGCGGCTAACCGGGCCCAGAGCAAGCGCCTGCCAAGGGTCTGGTTGTGCCCAGGGTGCCTGTCCGGGGCCTGAAGCCGGGGCTGCACCTCCACTCCTGGCCTCAGCTACCTGGCCGACCTGCCTGGGTGGCCTCGAAGTCTCAGATGCACGGAACTGCGCTGTACTCCTGGTCCCCGTCCCCCTAGACCCAGTCTTCTTGAACCTGGTCCCAGTCCTGTGCCTGCACTGCCAAAGCCACCACCACCAAGAGCCACCGCTTTCCCTTCCCAGGATGACTCACCCTGCAAACATCCCTACCTCCCTCCCCCTGCAAAGGCACACAGGTGAGCGCGCCCCGTGCCTGCCTTACCTCTGGCTCAGACTACAAGTTAGCGCGCTGCCAGGAGGTGTGGGCTACCAACAGATGCACAGGGGGCAGAACCCGCTCTCAGCCCCCCACCCCCACCCTGGGTGCTCCAAGTGCTTCACCAGCAGCCACCCCCTGGTCCAGGCTCCCTCTCTGCCTCCCCGGCTTCAACCTTAACTGATCAGAGCCTGGGATCCACAGCACCTCCAACAGATCAAGAAAAAACCACAGGCCCATGTTCTTGTTGAATATAGGGGCAACATTTCTCAACGAATATTAGCATGACTAATTCAGGAGCACATCAAAAGTTCTTTTCCCCATGATCAAATAGGATTTAACACAGGGTCCAGAAAATTGTCAAAAAGGTTTCAACTTGTGCAAATCTATGGAAGCTTTATTTATTATTTCTTAGAGAGGGGAAGGGAGGGAGAGAGGGATGGAAGCATCCATGAGCCACAGAAACACAAATTTGTTGCAATCTGCCTGGGCCCTGGCCTGAGACCCAGCTGTGTGCCCTGACCAAGAATGGAGCAGGGGACCCTTTGGTTCATAGGCTGGTGCTCACCCCACTGAGCCACACCAGCCAGGGCTGACACCTATGTAACTGTATGAACTCATATCAATGCAATAAATTTCATTGTAATAGACTAGTTTGGAAGAAATAAATCCAAAACCATCATGAAAAACACTTCCTGGTCCTGCCAAGGATTGTTCTGTGTGTCAGATAATGGACCTGGTGTGTTTGCTCCAGAAACTCCACAAGTATGTGAAGTGATACTCAGGATGTGTTTGTAAACCAGCTCCCAGAAAACACCGTTTTTTTTTTCATGAGCCCTGATTTGTGGCATTTAATTCCTGGGTGTAAATGCTCCTTTCTTTTTTCCTTTCTTTTTTTTTTTTTGCAGTTATTCAATTTTTATTTTTAAAATATTTTAAAATTATTATTGCATTACAGTTCTCCCAATTTCCTCCCATTGCCCTCTTCAGCGCATTTCACCCGCCCCACCTCCACTCCAACAGTCAATTCCCCCCCTGTTGTCAGTGTCCATGGGTCATTCCTACACTTTCTTTTCTAGTGCCTTCCCCCTCTTTCTTCTTGCAGGGCTGGAGAGCAGCCCACCACTGTCTCCCTCAGTCCCTTGTCTTTCTCCGGATTCATCACCCCACTGAGTCCTACCCCGCACATTTTCAGGACCACATGCTTGAGGACCTGTGTGGATTACTTCGCCCCCAGTTGCACAGGGACAGCTCCCTGGTCGTACAGTTCCCTGGGGCCAGCCAGGTCCAAAGTGCAGGTCCCACTGCAGGCCTGGGTGTGCACAGGGTGCTGTGCAGCCCCTTCTGGCCCCCAGGATCCTGACTGACCTGGATGGTGGACCCTGGAGTCCCACGGAAGCGCTGCGCCAACCTTCCCAGCCCCATCCCTCTTGTCCCTGTCCTCCCAATCCTGGGCTGGGTCCTAAGCTTGCACCACCCCCGCCAAGAACCACTGCACTGCTTTCCAGGGCTGCACCACAGCTCCTTCAGGTCCGGGCACCTCACATCACCCGTGCTTGCGACAAACCTGGCTGCAAAAAGAAGTTCACATGCGGCAGGAGCTGCTCACCACCGGATGGACACGGGACAGAAGTCCTTCCCCTGCACTCTCTGCTCCAAGGGCTTCACCACTAGCAACCACCTGTCCAAGCTCGCGCACCTCCACCTTGCTTTGGCCTTAACTGCTCAGGAGCCTGGAACATGCAACACATTGTCTGGAAGCCTGGCCAGAGAGCCACGCACAGGGCAGCCCTCAACCCAGAATGTGCCAGCTTGCTGGGGCAGGTGCAGTCCAACCAGTCCTCGCCCCGCCCAGAGCAGCAACACCCTTGTTTATCAAGGCTCCATTCCAGTGACCCCTGAGGACCTTAACATTCTTCTGATCCCCTCAAGAGCACAAGGAGGAGGCCTGAGACTGCACGGGGGTCAGCTGGACCTTGGAGGTGGCAATGAGGGCAGGTGCCCATGTCTGTAAAAGTCGTGGCCTATTTTTAAAAAATAATTTAAAGAAAAAAAAAGAGTTTTTTCCAGCTGGCCAGATACACTGGAAGGTGAGGACCAGACCTACAACCTGAGATCCTGCCACCAGAGGGAGCCAGAAGCACGAAGCTGCTCCATCCACACAAGATCCCAGAAGCCCCAGAACATAAGCAGGACCAACAGAAAAGATCCCTCCCCTGAGGGCAGCTGGTCAAGCTTGCAGGAGGTGACTGCGACGTCAGATACAAAAAGGGAACACAGCACTCCAAAGATCAGGAAGAATCAGGATCTATGCCATCACCAAAGATCATAATAACATCCCAGTAGTGAACTCAAAGTCATGGAGAATAGCAGTTTACCCAACAGGTAATTCAACAGACACTCCATTAACTACAAGACAAAAACAGAAAGACAATTCAATAAAGTCAGGAAAACATTACATGGACCAAATGGCATTTTCAACAAAGAGACAGAAATCATCAAATAAAACTCATAAATTTCATGGTGGAAAAAATATGTTAATGAAATGCAGAATGGTACAGAGGGCATCAACCAAAGAATAGAACAAGAAAAATACAAGAGGCCAATATTCTTGTCGAACATAGGTGCAAATAACTCAATGAATATTATGAGAAATTCAAGAGCACATTAGAACTTTTGTACACCGTGATCAAATGAAATTTAACACAGGGTCCTTATAATTGTGAAAAATCTCTTAACATGTGAAAATCAATAGGAGTTGTCATCACAATAAAGTAAATGATATATAACATATGCTTGCTTCAATAGATGCAGAGAAGGCATTGGACAAAGTATACCATTCATCCAAAACAAACATTTCATCATAAACACTGTCAACAAATTGGGGGTAGAATGAACTCACCTCAGCAAATAAAGGTAACATGAGGAAGCCCACAGTGAACATCAGACTCCACACTGAAAAGCTGAGAGTTTTCTCTGAGATCAGCAACAGGACAAGGAAGCCCACTCTCCCCACTCCTGTGCAACTCACACTAACCGTCCTAGGCAGAGCCCTCAGACAAGGAAAACAAACAAAGGGATCCAAACTGGAAAGAAAGGAATAAAACTGTGTGTGGGTGATACGATATTTTATATAAAAAACACCAAAAACTCCACAAAAATGGTAAAAACTTAAAAACAAACTCACAAAAGTGGCAGCATACAAAATGACCATTCAGGAATCAGTGGCATTCCTGTATGCAAAATAGACAAAAATCAGGAAAGGAAATAAAGATTTAATCCCATTTACAATAACATCAAACACAACAGATGATCAGTAAGGAGTTGAAAGGTCTGGACATTGAAACCTCTAGAACTTTGGTAAAAGAAATTGAAAAGACACAAATAAGTGGAAATATATTCACATTTACAGTTAGCAAGAATTCACTAAAATGTGTATACTGCACAATGTACAAATTCAGTGCAAGCCCTTTTGAAATTTCAAATTCACTTTTCACAGAACAAAAGGCAATAGTAAAATTCATACAAAACCACTCAAGACCACCAGTAGCTAAAGGAACCTTGAAAAAAAAGAATAGAGCTGAAGGCATCACACTACCTGATATCAAATTATGCTACACAGCTGCAATAATTAAAACAGCATGATAACTGCAAACAAAAAACATACAAAATAAATAAACCAAAGACATACAGACCAGTGCAAAACAATCAAAGCTACCAAAATAAACCAGTGACTTCCCACCAAATTGGAGGTGTAGGTGTAGACACACTGTGGCTCCTCACACAACCAAAAGGAGGACAACAACAAACTTGAAAAAAAATAAACTAGAACTGACAGATATTCAAACTGTATGGAAGTTCAAACACCAAGGAGTTAAGAAGAAACATTCATCCAGCCTGGTTGAAGATGAGCAGCCAGGGGGAGAGGACTCACCACAAGGTGGTGGCTGGTAGACCCCTGAAGCAGTGGCTTCTGGCTGGGCAGTGCCACATTCGCATGCAGATAAATGGGTAGGCACACCTGGGCACTGAGATAGACCACACAAGCCAGGGTTCTAATATGAGAAAATAAAGCTTCAAAGCCTCTGCTGAAAACACCTGTGGGGGATGAGGGAGCAGTGGAGAAACTGCCAGCCTCATGGGAGGTTTGATTGGACAGACCCACAAGGTCCTAGAACATACACAAACCCACCCACCCAGGATTCAGCAACAGAAGGAACCAATTTGACTGTGGGAAGCAGGGAAAGTGAATGGAAACCAGCAGAGAGCAGAGCAAGTGGCACTGTTCCCTCTCAGATCTCTTCCCCACATACAACATCACAATGCAAAGACATGGGTTGCCCTGCCCTGGTGAACACTTAAGACTCTACCCCTTACTACATAACAGGCACTACAAGACAAAAAAAATGGCCCAAATGAAAGAACACATAAAAGCTCCAGAAAAATACACCTAAGTGATGAAGAGATAGCCAACCCATCAGATGCACAGTTCAAAACACTGCTCATGAGGATACTCACAGAATTGGTTGAATATGGTTGCAAATTGAAGAAATAAATGAAGGCTATAAAAAGTGAAATAAAGGAAAATTTACAGGGAACCAAGAGTGATAGGAAGGAAACTAGAACTCAATTCAATGATTCGGAGCAGAAGGAGGAAAGAAACATTCAACCAAAACAGGATGAATGATTCTTTCTAGAAAGAAAAAAAAATGAGGAGAGACTTAGGAACCTCCAGGACATCTTTAAACGTTCCAACATCCAAACCGTAGGAGTGCCAGAAGGAGAAGAGGAAGTGCAAGAAATTGAAAACTTATTTGAATAATAACGAAGGAGAACTTCCCCAATCTGGCAAAGGAAATAGACTTCCAGGAAGTCCAAGAAGCTCAGAGAGTCCCAGAGAAGTTGGACCCAAGGAGGAAACACCAAGGCACATCATCATTACCTTAGCCAAGATTAAAGATAAGGACACAATCTTCAAAGCAGCAAGAGAAAAGGAGACTGT